CTGTTACTGAATCTTATTATTCCCGAAATTTATAACTTAACCGAATCGGCCGAAAAATCATTCGGCTAATTTTATCAAGGTGTTTCAGGAATTATGATAATAGCTGTAATAAATAAGGGGTAAAACTTAAATAAATTTCGAGAAAATTTAAAAAAACGGTTTAAAAATTATTTTAGCGGGTAAATTTGCCCGCTAGATGGTTTAAGAGACAACGTAAAAAATAACCAAATTTTTTATCGAAATTATACTATTGCCACAGTATTTTTATTATTAACGTGAATATAAATAATTCATTATTTTGAGGGTTATAAAAAAAAAGGCTAAAATATGGCTATCTATTATGCTTCATTAAGTAGTTTTTTTTTTTAATTTCTAAATTTTTTTATTTTATATTTTTTCTAGTTAATTTATCTAAATATTTTTATATATCAACCTACTGTATCATTACTTCACTATGTTGCCACATTTCTTGTTTTAACAGTATATAGTAAAATTAAACCTATTTTATAAAAATTTAAATTTTTATACGTATATATACGTAATGGTAACATTTAAGTCATGTGAGGTTGAACTATATTAAAAAAAAGTTAATTTTAGTTATATCTCAAAATAGGAGTTATGGGCATTATTTTGAGTTATGCCCGAATTAAGCTTAATTTAGGTCAAATTTCGAAATTACACTCTTAGTACGTACGTATATATTTGATATCAGATATTGTGAATAATTACGTAAATGCTTAAATAATATGTACGTATAAATTTTATTTATATATCAGATATGTATCTATACTATAGAATACTTTTAATAATTTTATTAACATGATGAATGTTCAGCATAAAATGTAAATTGTATATAGTATGGCATCATACGTTATTAAAACGTATTAATACCTAGATGAAATAAAATTCCTTTATATGACATACAAGTTTATCTCTTAGGAAAAAAAGATCAATACTCGATTCCAAAAGGAAAAAAAGTTACATACATTGTCTTTTCATCTCCAAGTGTAACAGATATATATATATATATACAGAACAAAAAATATGTATAAGGTTGAAATGATGTGATGAATATAAAATAATCGGATATTTTAAAATGCAATGAAAAATAGGATTTATTCGAGAGTTCACCAGCCTCCGAATTCATAATTTTTATTTCCACTTTCCCTCAGCCTTTTTTATTTACATCACCAATTAATGTAAACTCAATTCCTTCAATCTTCACTTTCTTATCTGATTCATTCTTTTCTGATGCTTTTTTAGTCAATCTCTTTATTGTACTGCGCTTCAGTTTAATCTTGAAGGCAGCATCTAAAAGTAAGTCAGGTGTTAATAGTTCGTGTGGAATTGAACCCAAAAATTCTAGAATTTCTGAAATTGTCGGACAATGGTTCAATATATAGTCTCGTGTACAATCAAAGATTGCTAATCCAATTCTGAAAAATAGCTTGACACCTATAGAAATTGATCAATTGGTTATTAGAAAAAGATGAAAAAGAAAAAAAAATAAATAAATAAAAGATGTAAAATGTTTTATATTTACCTTCGAAATAAAATACATCCCATACGCGAAGAACTGATGCCCATGGTAAAACCATAGTAAATATCGTCAAGAACCATTTTGGAATATAAAGGATTGGATCAACAGACTGATTTCTCTAATAACATACGTAGATAAAATATGTAAATAATGATAAGAAAACAAGTCAGTTTAATTATTTAGGTAATCAAAAATGTAGAATTTAAATGTATAAGAATTCTTAATTACAAAATGCTGCGCCAACTTCTGATCATGTTCGTATAATAACAAATCAAATATTCGAGAATCTACTTTAATTTGTGGTAAATCTGGAGCAAAGTAACCACCCATGTATTCTTCTATTGTAGCAACAAGGAGCCAAAAAGTATCCTCGGCAGGCATCTGCATTAACATCATTCCAACTAGACGACCCATGCCCTGACAATACCCTACTACTGTATCATAATGTGCATACGCTTTCAATATATTAAAAAGATCTTCTTGTCCAAAACCTTTTTCCCGAAAGTGAATATGATCAGGGTAACATCTATCAATGTCCTTCTCTATATCATTATATATTGGCAATTTTTCTTTATTTCGTAATATCTGTTAGATAAAATGAATAATTTGTTAATTTAAAGTAAAAATGAACAATAAAAATCACTGATTAAAAAGACATACATCAAAAACACCCTTTTTACGATATTTGTGGACTCCAGCCATTAATTGCCAAGCCCTGCCACGCACAGACTCTGGGATACCGAGACGAACTAATTTCTTGATCTGTTAATAAATGATAAATATTGAATAAATATCAAATATATATATACATAATAATAATAATAATAATAAAATTATTATTATTATTATAAATAATCATATATATGCATTGTAATTTATAATTTAATAATTTACTTTTCTTGAGTCTCTTGCCATTGAAGGGTCCATGCTTCCGAGGAAAGTAACCCATTTTGTTTCACGCTCACGATATAAGCGAATACTACGTGAAGTCTTTTCTTCAACGCCTGGTACTTGAACACTAATAATAATTATTAAAAAAAAACAAGGTGTTAAATAATATAAAGTAATAATATACATATATATATATTATATATATATTATATATAAATTATATTATAGAATTATATAATAAATTCATACATTCTTTGAATCCCGTCAGCACCTTCAGGAATTTCATTTTCAGCAACCTTATGTACAAATCCATAATTATCAACAGCAATAACCTTTTCTTTCTTAGGACTATCAGATCTTTTCTTAGGTTCTACGTTTTTTAAAGATTTAGCATCATATTCATCTTCGTCTGAACTAAGATCTTCACTGTCATTAGTACCGCTATCATTGCCATTTTCATACATGAAAGGGGCCATTGGACGCTTTGTGAAGTCAATTGATGAGTTATTGCTAGTATAAATACTATCATCATCATCAAAATCGTTTGTGGGATAATTTTTTTTTGAATGAAATCGTTTATGACAACTTTCTAGTTCACTATCATCGACTAAAATTTGGGGTACAACTTTTGGAGAAGATAGTGGAGGAGTAGGAGAAGAGAATTGCCTATAAGAAGGACTAGGAGGAACAGTACTTGGCGAAGATAAAGGAGAATTAGAAGTAGGAAATTGTCTAGCAGAATTAACTTTTGGAGAAGATAGAGGACTAGAAGGAACATTTCTTGGAGAAGATAATGGAGAAGTATATTGTCTGGCAGAATGATTAGGATTAGAAGGAACCATTCTTGGTGAAGACGGAGAAGATGGTAGAGAAGTGGGAGAAAATTGCCTATAAGAAGGATTAGAAGGAACAATTTTTGGAGAAGATAGTGGAGGAGTGGGAGAAGAAAATTGTCTAGAAGGATTATAAGGAATAATTTGTGGAGGTGAATTAGAAGAAGGAGAAGATTGTGGAGGAGTGGGAGTAAAAATTTGTCTAGAGGAATGGTTAGGAGAAACATTTGAAGATAGTGGAGGAGCGGGGGTAAAATTTTGTCTAGAGGAGTGATTAGGAGAAACATTTGGAGAAGATAGTGGAGGAGTTGGAGTAAAAATCTGCCTAGATGAAGGATTAGAAGGAATAACTTTTGGAGAAGATAGTGGAGGAGTGGGAGTAGAAAATTGTCTCGAGGAAGGATTAGAAGGAATAATTTTTGGAGAAGATAGTGGAGGAGTGGGAGTAGAAAATTGTCTCGAGGAAGGATTAGAAGGAATAACTTTTGAAGATAATGGAGGAGTGGGAGTAGAAAATTGTCTAGCAGAAGGATTTATTTCATAATTTTGAATATCATCATTAGAATAAGTTATACTAATTGATGGTGGTGTAGTTGGGGGAGAAGATGGTTCTAAAAAAAAAAAAATAAACATTTTTTCAATGAGTAAAAATAAATTTAGATAGTGATGAAACGCAAACTACAAAAAGTTATATAGCACACCACTAATAATATCCACCGAAGACATAGAAGATGAACGAGATCTAGATTGAACATTTTGACCAATATCAGATGGACAAAGATAAGAGCCCTGCTGTAATTGTCTTTGAGAATTATCAGGTGATAAACTATCAGACTTCTTTTGATTATTATCAGATTTTGAAGGTAATTGAGTTTTTAAAGGACCATTGAACGAAACAGATTTTCCTCTAAAACGACCTATTACACCCTCACAAAATCCCTGTTTTTGAGACATATAAAATAAGACGAAATTAAGAAAATGATTAACAGAAATGTAAATAATAAGGGTTTCAAAGCTAAAATCTGAGAATTTTATTTTATTTTTCCGATTTTAATTCAACATAGTAAAAATGCTATTGAAAAAAAATCCTATTTATTCCGAAATGCATCACTTATTTGTTAAATTTGAAACCCCCCCAATATCGAAATTCGACATTCATTTTGATATAAAAAAAAAACATACAAGATAAATATCATCATCAATTTGTTTCAGGACAGTAATGACTTCGCCTAAAAATTAAGAATTAGTAAGAACTTTTTAGACTATTACATTATGCAAAAAAATAATAAAATAACTTTTACCAGTATAAAACATTAAGTCAATTTGAGAATTAGCTAACGTATCCTCGATGGCAACGCATGTTCCAATCCCTCCTGTAATTATTTAAATGAATAGTTATGTTAATATATAATTATAAAGATCTGAAAGTGAATTAGCATACCCTTCGCGGCAAACTGATGTAGTTTTTCAAGTTTTGAAAATTTTTGTGATGACATTCCAACCTTGTCCAAGGTTGATTTGGAGGATAGCAAAAGCTTATTAGACTATATCTTATAATTCTTGAAATTGAAAAACCGGGGGCTTTTTGTAAAATATGACGCGTAAGTGTTCGCGTTTTGTGGCGTAGGAGACGTGGAGAAAATAATAAAATTAAGAAACGAAAGTTAGTAATTATTGAAAGAAGAGAAACCAGTAGACTTTAGTAAAAAATAAAAAAAAAGAAGTACATACAAGGAAAGTTTTTCGTTTAGAGAATATTAATTAATTCTCAAAGACAGAAAACAGTTTTTTTTGCAAATAATAAATACAGAATTCTGAAAAAAAAAAAAAATAATAAGAATAAACGGTTAAGATAAAAAAATCTTATAAAATAAGGAATAATTTCAAAAACAATGAGATATATATATAAATCATGAATTCCCAACGGGGAGACGTAACTAATTTTAAAATTTAAATCATTTATAGGTATAAATGTTAATAAATTGGATTAGAGAGTGAGATGTATTTGAAAGAGTCTTTTCCCGGTTTTTTAAGATGATACGTATAGAAATGCAAAAAATGCAGGATGATATTTGGAATGTTGGATGTAGTGTCACACCTGTACATTTAAAGTATCGTACAGTTTGAGGATTATTACGTTACGATTGTATACATAAAACTACATAAAATTAAAGAAATTTAATACAACACATTATCATAAATGATTCGAGAATAGAATTCTAAAATTGAATGGCAATAGGGTATACGACATCTCTTAATGCATTCTATAAACCTATAAATCAATTGTAATTATGTTCATTGAACTTCTTTAAAGCATGTGACTACGAAATTGAATGAAATGTTATCATCGGTTTAATACAGTAAATAGTGATAGAGTTGTTAATTAAACCCAATTCAGAGTTGTGGTATTCAGGTTTGCTTAATTAAAAGTCAATTCTGCATACAAATTAGTTTGAGTTTAATCTAATTTCAAACTTTAATACAACTCAATAATCTTATTTTCTTTTTAACGAACATATTTCAATGATATATGAATATACAGTTTATATGTCAGTATTATTTATACATTGATAAATATAAACAGTATTTCGAATATGGATTTTACCAGTGTTCACCATTTTCAGAAGTAAAATTTTCTTGTATACCATGTGTTTGTGCTCTGTTACAGCATGAAAACTTTGGAATTGGCATTTTAATTCATTTAACGTATTTACACGAATTAATAATCTATTCATGTGATAGTTACTCGAAAACTATATCTAGAATTCTATAATTAATTGTATATTTAAAAACTGTAAATCTCGCAAATCTTTACATGTGTTTAATGAAATTTTATATTCTTTAACACAGTTCATTTATTTTCGCTAACAATAAAATGATAAATGTTTGCTAAAAAAAAACAACTACGCAATACGTGAGGATAACATTGTTGTGCATTTACCACATGCACTTGCAAAAACAAGCATCAAACACATATCTGACGTTATATTATAGTGTATATACCGATATCTGATATGCAATAAAAGCATCCGTAAATCTCCACATATGTATGATAATGCATTCTCCACTATTTCTATTTTTGTTTAGACTTCTAAAAAGGTTAATATCAAAAAAGTTAATCTAGAATTATGAAACACAATGAGGAGTTCTTAAATCGTTAATTTATGCTTTTTGATTATCGTTTCTTAACGTCTTTAATTGATGTACAAAATATTCTTGTTTGCTCTCAGTATCTGTCGATCACTTTAAATTATAAGTGAATTTAACATTATTTAGTCAATAATGGTGATTTAAATTTCGAGATGTTAAACGAAATATTTTTTTGTCTAACTTGATATTGATTAAATCTAAGTGTTCAATCTATACAAGTCCGCCATTCCTGCATTCATGAGTTTGGAACCTTTGACTGTGTGAACACCATGACAAAGGGTTCCAACTCTGGATAATACAAATAAGAGTTGAATTTTGTCCTTTTATCTATTTTAAGCTTTGTTTATATTTTTGATTTATAATTTATAAAAATTAAGTATAATCAAAGGTATATATTATGGGAACGCCTATTTCCACCAGTTTCCGTAATTTATCGTAATAATGTTCGTCATGTATATATAGCTGAAGTCATGTGA